TCATAACAGTTCAAAACTTTGTAACGGGGAAAAATCCCCGATTACCCATTGGGGATCCCCGATACCCATTGGGGATGGGGATAGATTTTTAATCCACGATGGGGATGGGAATGGGGATGGGGAACACGAAACCCAGTATATTCGTACCCATTGCCATCCCTAATGATTGCGGGAATGCGATGGATTGATCGTGCACCTCCTCACATTATAGGGTTTTGATTTCAGGGATTCTTTGATATGAAACTGTTTTGATAACGTTTTGTAATAAATAATGGCTTTTGGATGTTTGAAAAAGTTTTAAATTGTTATGAATTTTATGGATGTTATAGTTTGACTTTTGGGTCAACTGTGAGGGGTTGAGGACCTAGAAGGGCAAAATGGTCATTTTCGCAAACGAGGATTTATCTTGGTATTGGAATTGTTAAGTTGGAGTATTTACCTTAATTGTTAACTAGGGTTTGGTTTGTGTATATCAGTATATGTTAGTGGGAGAGACTTCGGCACCAGCAGTTCGTGGGTGAGATATATTCATTTACCGATCGAGGTGAGTCTTCTCACGTTACACATAGGTCGAAGGCACCAATGCCGACCCATTAGATTGTGATAGTTATTTTGTGGCTCTTGCTTGTTTATGTTGGGCTAGGCCCATTTTTATGTTGGGATTGGCCCATTATTATGTATGTTGGGTTAGGCCCATTTATATGTTAGGCTAGGCCCATTATTATTTATGTTGGTATGGGCCCATTTGTATGCTGGGCGGGGCCTATTATCATGTATGTTAGGCTGGTCCCATGATTATGTTGGGCTAAACCTATTTATGTATGCTGGTTTGGGCCTATTTATTTGGTATGTGGTATTTTGAGGAACTCACTAAGTTGTGTGCTTACAATTTATGATTAAAATATATTTAGTTACTTCTGGTTTCAAAAGGAAGGGGCCCGACTTTATCGCACTACATCCACTGGAGATTTATTCCGCACTGAGTGTTTACGAATTACTCTGATGTTTTGAGAATACTTTTATTTTGACCACCTTTGAGATAATGAATGAATGGTTTTGACTTATTTAAAAATGAAAATTTGACTCGGTATTTTTGGGACGTTACAACAAGGTTGCATATCGTTTGGATCTACCTATCGTGCTTAGTCAGATCAACTGTATATTTCATGTCTATCAGTTATGGAAGTGCCTGGCCGATGATTCCACAGTAGTTTCATTGGATCATTTAGGTTAATGAGTGCTTGAACTTTATGGAGAGACTAGTTGTTGTTTTGGACAGAAAGACATAGACCATGTGCAACAAGGTGGTGGGATCGGTGATTGGTGAAGGTGCAATGGCAGCAACAGAAGGATTCCGAGTGAACTTGGGAACCTGAGGAGGAGATGAGGGAGATTTACCCTAAACTTTTGCAACGACGGATTTCAAGGACGAAGTTTGATTCAAGTTGGGGAGAGTTGTAACACTCAAATTCATGTATAAATTTCACTTTGTAAAAGTTAAGGTTTTTGTCGGCCACGATGTGGTGAAGGGATCACTACAACGAGGCAATTTGCAGGAAACGCGTGTTTCGTTAAGTGACTCCATGATGTGACAAAATGTTGGTCACAACGTGGAGGCGAGAGATTGTGTAAACCCTAATTTTGGGCTTAGGCCCCTATTTAAAGGGAGTGATGGATAGAGTTTCCTCCATTCTCAGCCTCCATTATCTCCAAAGAACTTTTGTTAACCCTTAGCCTCCCTCCTTAAGTTCTTGGCTCATTTTGGTGTTTTTGGTGTCTTGAAGAAGAATAAGAAGAATGTGTCTTAGTGCATTGGTCCATCAAGCAAATCTCCTGCTCACCATCTTAATTGCATATATTCTGGACTATTGTAAGTCCTCAAGTTCAAATCTTTATGTACCATGCTTTTAATTCTAGGCTTTTCATGTACTTTCTCCATGATTAGGAGACTTTGAGTGGAGGGATTCCATAAAGTTGGCAACTTTATGGACCCTTGAGGTCCCTTTGTGGTTATATTTTTTAGATCTGAAGTTTGGTAGAGTTTTGATCCCATGTATGAGTTTTAAGTCACTTTTTTAATGTTTTGACCTAGATGGATAAAGGACATGCATGGATCGTGTATGTCCATAAATTTTGGATTTTTATAGTCCAATAGGGTTCATAAAAGCCTTATGTAAAGTTTGAGAAAAGGACTTAACCAATCAAGAGCTAAAGGAAATAAGTTGTCTTCGGCCAGTTGCCACAACGTGACAAGTTAGGTGTCACGATGTCGCAAAGATAGAAATCATGTTTATTTGGACTGGACTCTTTCACAACATGGTGACATGCCTGCCACAATGTGGAGGATAGCTAGAGTTGACTTTGACCGTTGAGTTTTGACCTGATTTGACTTTTAGTCAAATGGCTAGTTTTAGAAGGTAAACTAAGAGTTTCTTTTGTATGATTGGTTAGGAGGTGTGTATCACCTGCTTCTTGATTGTGTCATCTGATTAGCTATCGACTACGTTTGTGAGGTAAGTCTTCTTACTATACTATGTAGGTTGTTAAACTATCTTTGTGACTTTAGCATGGAAGACCATGCGAGGACCATGACATTTGTATGAAAGACCATGACAATACCATGACACCTATATGAAAGACCATGGGAGGACCATGACAGTCGTACGGAAGACTATGGGAGGACGATAGCAATGAAGACTATAGGAGGACTGCAACAGTGAGTGATTGTAAGACTGTGGGAGGACCACAACATTCACACATTTTGTATGTTATGTATGATATGCGATATTTGGGGAACTCACTAAGCTTTGTGCTTACGATTTTATGTTTAAATGTTTCAGACACTTCTGGTTCCAATGAAAAAAGTCTAGCTTAATTGTCTCGCATCCACTGGAGATTCTGCTTTTATGATTTTGTTTTTACTTTGATGTTATTTTGAAACTCCCTCTACGATTTGATTATGTGTCTTTAAATGGATGAGATTGAGTTGGAGATCATCAGTTTAGAAGAAGAAGAGCAATCAGAGGAGAAGAAGCCATTCGCTCATAAAGAAGCTCTAAATTAATTTATAAAGGAGGAATCAAGGTTGTAGAACTCGTTACTCGGTACCTGTTCGGCCGACTACCGAGTAGCGAATACTCAGGAGTACTCGGGTAGTACTTAGATTCGATAATTCATGTAGAAATATTTTTAGGGAACTTATATATGTCAAAATCATAAGTTAAAATCTTAAGTTCATTGAAATATATAACAAAATTAGGTACATGTGAATACACAAAAACTATAGAATACATAATGGTCTCACTTCATGAACAATTACAAAAAATTTAAGATATATATATATATATATATATATATATATATATATATATATTATATATATATATATATATATGTAGTAATAATCACATGTTTGTGTGTTAAATAATAAATCATTAAGTATATTATAAATATTAATCACTGAGTTGACTGGATTTTACAACACTGATTAGTTCAATAAGGGGTCGATCGGGGAGTACTCAGGATTTCGTAACTTGCCTCGGTAAGAGGCCGAGTAGTGAGTACTCGGAGGAGTAATTGACCAACTCAGCAAGTTTTACAACACTGGGAGGAATATATCAATTAATGTTTTGTCACTAATTATTATGTCATGCCATAATAGTTAGGCCAAATCATTATTTAACATATAAGAGTCCGTTACCGACGGATAGTATTTAAACAATACATATAGTTTATAGGTGTTTTTTTGTACAAAAACTTGTTTGGATTGTGTTTTTTGAACAAATCAAATTTGGATGATTATTTTTGAACAATTTTGAAACATAGTTATCCTTCTGAGTCATTTCCTTATTTTTTTTTCCTTTAATTATTTTTTACCGGTAATTGTCGGTTATTATAAGGTGAAATTTGAATATAGGTGTTTTTTGTACAAAGACTTTACTTTGATGGTATTTTTTAAACAAACTTAAATGATGTTTTTTGAACGATTTTGAAACATAATAACCCATATAAGTCATTTTCCCAAAAACAAACCTGGTAAAAGACGACATGAGGTAAAAGGGAGGATTGCCATATATCTCCTCCAACGATCACAGGTGATAAGCTAATTAAGATCAAGGGGGCAACGATGAGGCTGCTGCCCAATTGTTTTCGCATGACTTTTTCAATAAAAAAGAATGACAAGAAAGTGACGTGATATGTTTTTTAGTTCCAGTTTTTCGACGCATCACAAACGAAAGAAATATCTCAGCCTTGTTAATTCATAGGTGGTGTGCGTGTTGGAATATAGCCTCATGACGTGGGTCCTTTTGTTAGTCTAAGGTAAGACTTTTGTTCATAAGTTTACAATATTTGTTGAAATTGGTGACGGATTCTATCTTTATGTAAAGTGTGAGAGAAAGATCAAAAGATTAAAAGACTTTTGTTCATTAGTTTATTTACAATATATTTTTTTCGAGGCATCACAAAAAGAAGTCATTGATTAAGGTCTTAGTGAATTATAAAGGTTTCTAAACCATTCAATACTAATAACCCAACGGGACACCATCTCAAACTCTTTTTTTTTTTAGTAGGTTGTGTGCAATTCTTCCGATGTCTACAATATGTAAATATTGTTGATCTTATGGTTGCATATTATATTTCTTGTGTCTATTTGTGCTTCTTCCAAACTGTCATCCAACAAAGATGACCTAAAAGAGTGCCTTTAGACCTTTACATGAAACAAATGCATTATTCGCATCATAGTCAAGTATGATTGAGCAATGATAAGCTACAAGACAAACAAACATCCAAACCATTTACTAAGTTGTATTATAACAAAATGCTTGTTCCAAATACCTTTTAGGTAGATTGAAAGCATAAAAGGATTCGAAATTCCATAGATCCAAGAATAAATGTCTATTTCTTGGTTCGTTCTGATCAAAATGTATTTGGATCTTTGGACAAAATGTTAATGATTAAAAATTATGTCGGGGAACTTATGTAATACATAAATTTATTTCGATTACTAGATTAAATCACGAGTAATTTAATCAATCAAACGTATCAAATAATCGAAAGCAAACAACACTTCGATGATAAACAAGTATCTTGTTTATTAAAACGACTTGTTTCAACCATTACATCATCCATAAAAAGTCGTACACCATGCGATAAACTTTCTATCTATCGATACATATATCTACCATTTTCTAACAAACAAAAAACTACACCATTCTATCTCGAGTTCATAGCTCCACTCATCTCTTTCAAACCCCCTAACTTTCCTTCTTCCCTACAAGGCGAAACCCTAACAACCTCTTTTTGAACATTTTGAATCTTTTGTAAAGAAGCAAGAACTTCAGCCATAGGTGGTCTAAACCTATGATCATTATGAAGACATTTTGATGCGAGTGCAGCCACGGCTTGTGCACCCTTTTTTGAATATTGACCACCTAACCGTGTGTCCATAATTCTTAGGACCCGTTTGGTGTCACTTAGAAACGGTTTAACCCATTCGACTAATGTCTCTTCGACTCCACCGGCTCTTTCTTCGGCTATGGCTCGTCTTCCTGATAGTAGTTCTAATAAAACCACACCAAAACTATACACGTCGTTTTTTTGAGTCAAGTGCCCTAAAAAAACAATTAAATCGCTATTAGGAAACGTGTGAGGAAGATTAAATGAACTTGTAGAATTTTTTTTCAATGAATTTTTATTGTAGGATAAAATACGAAAAAACACCTTTCATCGTTTTATTGATTTAGCCGGTGGTTAAACGATTATACTATTTTTTACTGTTTAAAGAAACTTGTTTCAAGGTTTTTAATATTAGGGTAAAATACAGAAAAACACATCATTTTTATCGATTTAGCCACTGCAATGTTTTCCTTTATCGAATTAGCCACTAGACTTTTTTTTTTTTTTTTGATGTGTAGCTACTGAACTACTTTTATTATATACCCAATCCAATGAATCAAACATACCTGTTGCAATATATTCAGGTGCAGCATAACCATTTGTTCCAACAACCCTAGTTGAAACATGTGTATTGTCACCTACAGGACCATTCCTAGCTAAACCAAAATCCGAAAGCTTCGCATTGAACTCCTAAAAATTCAACAAAAAAATCATTAGTAAACACATAGATAATGTAAAATATCTTCACTTTTCTAAATTAAAACAAAATCTGGATAATTTTTTTTATGAATAATACCGTATCTAGGAGTATATTAGAAGCCTTGAGATCTCGATAAATGATACAGGGTACTTTACTATGCAAGAAAGCTAACCCTTCTGCTACATCAATGGCAATCCGCATCCGTGTGGCCCACGGCATCGGTTGCACACTTTCTGTAAAGAAAGAATACAATAATTTCAATAATTCGTATTGAAATTTTGTAACAATTTGTGGGTCCTAATTTTTTTTTTTATATTATGGACCCACAAAATAATAATTAAGACAAGCTTTTTAAAAGTGATTAAAAGTGAGACGCACTTTTAAACAAGTGGTTATCTAAGCATCCTTTAGGCATGTACTCATACACAAGAAGCCGGTTTTCACATTCTTCACAATACCCAATGAGTTTGACCAGATTTTTATGATGAAGCCTTCCCATATACTCAAGCTCAGTCTGCAAATCAACAAAATAAAACAAAATTCGCTGTATAAGTTTGACTTCTTGAAAAAAGACAAAAAAAAAAAAAAAAATACGAAAGAAATTTGAAAGATTATCACTTACAAGCCATTCCCGGTGACCTTGCCGGCTATCAGCCTTGAGTATTTTCACAGCCACCACTAATCCGGTGCCAGGTTTGGCCGGAGCAAAGGTGGTCTCGTCGATCCACCCTTTAAAAACTTGACCAAAACCGCCCTCACCCAGAAGGCTATCTGGTCGGAAGTTTTTGGTGGCGGTTTTCAGATCATGCAAGCTAAAGGCTTTGAGGTTAATGGGGATAGGGAGATTTTGGTCTCTGGGTGCTTTTGAAACTTTGTTGAAGGTGACTGTTTTTGTCTGATTCTTGGAATCTTTTGAGCTCGATTTTACCTTGTTATTGATCATATCGTCTACAATAAATAAGCTACAAGTTAGCAAAATCAAAATTGAGAAATCACGGAATCACACAAACTTAAAAATAATGGAATTCGTAGTTGAAACGAAGATATTAGAACTGAGAAAGCTTGGAATCACACAATTAAAACCCTAATTGCGATTATCAAGTGGAATCACAATCGAAGCATTAAGCGGAAGAAGAAAGAGTATTACTACTGTAATTATACATACCAAGAAATTGACCAGAAGACGCATGAGCAACATTGGCTGGCTTTCCGACACAAATACCCATTTGAGAATTGAGAGTGGTGGTGTTCTGCAAATTGAAATTGGGGGTGGTCAAGGAAAGAAGAGATGGAATGGATTAATATATTGATGGCGTATGAGGAGTGGGGTTGATAATTCTGGTCTGCTGTTTGAATTAATTTAGTCAAGGGTAAGAAATTGGCATCATGTGATACTGATTGATGTATGGAACCTTCGTGCGAAACCCAAACAGTGAATAGTAAACCCGAAGAGGAAACCCGTTTTGCTTTGGATGATGAAATCTGGCTTTTGATTTTTCAAAAGCGTATACTTTTGAGTCTTTGACGTTCGAGAGTAATAAAGGCCTGGTCAGTTGGGTCAGAACTCGGATTTATACTTGTAGGGAATTATTAAGGCCGTGAGAAATGGTGTCGCTAGGCATTGTAGAATGCTACCTACTCCCAAAGTGACATCCACATGAGCCAATTTTTTCTAAAAGGAGAGACTCGTTAAGATTGTGTTAAGTTTCATAGAAAAACTCGAAAAACCGATATGAGGGAGAAGAGTTCCGCTCATTGTCGAGCTCCATGTCACTCTCTACCTCACTCTTGCCAAGTCCTTTTTTTCACTCCCTACAACCAAAGGTTGGATGGTTTGGGATGGATGAAGTGATTCGATACAAACCCATACACCAATCAAAGAATTTGCTCCTTCTCGATAGCTTGTTAGGTGCATAAAGTGCACATTTTCATAGGATAATTTCATGTTTATTTATAGCATTGCAATGCATTTTTAGTATAATTTTCATACATTTTGCATTTAGGGACATAATCGAGGATCTATCGATATTACACCATTTTCTATGGATGTTTCAGGATGATTTGAAGATTGAAGCATGCTTAGGATGGTCAAGGGAAGCTCTCGGTGAAATTTCGGAACGTTCGGAGCTAAATTGAAGAAATGAAGAAAATTGGAAATTGATTATTTCACAACTCATTACACGGTCCGCACTATGGCAAGGCATACGTTACGCGACCGTGTTTTGAAGGCTTTTCAGCACATCAGGATCATTACACGGCCGTGTAATGGCAAGACATACGTTACAAGGGCCGTATAACGTGATCTGATGGAATTTCAAAGTCTTAACTTCGATTTATCTATGGTTAATGAATGGCACATCACACCACCAAACATAGCTCCTCCATTTCTCTCCCACCAAGCCCCTTCTTATTTTCATTCCAACTCGGTAAAACCTTTCGGAGGAGCTGAGGTGGAGTCCGGCACCAACTCTCTTTAGCCCAAGCAATAGTTAATTTATGGGAATGATATTTTTGTTTATGATTTTTTATTATTTTATTTGAAAAGGTTTGATTTTTTTTTATTTACATGAAGATAGATATTTACGATAAATACATATAAATGAAAGCATTTTTATTTCAAATATGTAAATAAAAGGATTAATTACTTATAAGGGTAATAAACTATTACTTTTGTTCATGTTTAGTTACTTAATTATATATCATTTACCATTGAATTTGTTTTATGTGTTCAAAAAATTATTGGTTACGGAAGGTTTCCCATGACTTTGTCATCTCTGCTATAACATATGTGCTTTTATTAAACCAAAATTATCATCGTGGCTGTATAAATATCATGACCCGAAGTCATATCTCACAATCTGGTTCTATAAAAACCTTTACAATTTTATCAAATTTTATAACTTATTGGTGTTACCAAACATAAACTTTATACACAAACTTCATACACACAAATTTCATCCTAACAGTTGGCCTAAGATCCTCTCAGGGAGTCTTTTATTACATTTCTTATAGAAATCATTTAACATGTAGCACCTGGTGCTTGGTACATATTCTTTTATTAATTCTTTAAAATGTTTTGCATTTTGGCCTTGGACTCGGCGAGTTGAAGGACCAACTCGCTGAGTAGAAGCGGGATGAGATGTGGGGTTTAAGCAGTGGACTCGACGAGTTAGGACCCGGACTCGGCGAGTAGGCCCTGTCTGGACAAAAACCCTAACCCGATGGTTTGCACCCTATTTTAACACCTTAACTTGGCCTCCTTCGTCCCATTTGCTCCCAGAAGACCCCCATATCAAACCCTAGATGTTATTGAAGCAATCTAAGGCATTTGGAGTGATTTTGGTGCTTTTGTGACCCAAGGAAGGAAGGAAAAGCTTGAAGGATCAAGAAGAGGCTAGAAGGATCCGATTTTGAGCATCATTTGCAGTCTACAGAAGGTATAAAGTCTATTCCTTGTTTGTTCTTTTGATAGATCCCATTTTGTGGAGTTTTAGGGCTTTTCTAAGCCATTTTGGTCACCAACCATGATTGCAAGGATGGGTAGGGGTTGATGTTTCAGATCTAGGCCCTTAGAGGGGTTACAAGGTAGAAACGAGTGGCTCTTGCACTCAAAGAAGACCCCATGCATTGTAAGAGGTTGTTTTAGGATCTTTTGAGCTCAAAGTCCCATGCAAGCACGTAAAGGTTGTAACTTTACGTGCTAGATCGATTGTAGAAGCATAGATCTATCTTTTGATCAAGGGTTATACCTCATAAATAAAAGATTTAATGAGAGGATGTGACCAACTCGACGAGTCCACTCTTGGACTCGGCGAGTCCAAGGTTTCTGTCCCATATCAATTGAGAGTCATAAGGACCCAGTTGAGTGTGGAAAGGTTTTAAGGGGTCCCGGGGAGTGACCCAATGTTCTGGACTAAGCCATTGTTTTGGAAGTTCATGGGACACGACGAGTGCATGACCAGACTCGGCGAGTCCAAGGCAATCTTCTTAAGGATGAAGATGAACTCGACGAGTTGTTCATACAACTCGGCGAGTCAAGGACAGGACCTGTGTATCAGTTGAATGTGAACTCGACGAGTTGTTCATACAACTCGGCGAGTCGGATGAGGATTCAGTTGATGTTCATTAAGAAGGAAAACTCGTCGAGTCATCGCCTAACTCAACGAGTAGAGACGGGTATAAGGACAAATGGAAGGATAGGGACTCGGCGAGTTGGCGAGCCAACTCGACGAGTCAGGTCAACTAGAAGTTGACTTTGACTTTGATTTGTTCAGGGGTAAAATGGTCATTTTACCCTAAGAACAGTTAGCAGTGTATGACTAAGTGTTTGTGGGAATTATAGCCGGAGGATTTCCGGAGCAGCAGCGGCAGTAGTCAGAGGATTCCCGCACAGATCAGCAGCTACTACAAGGTGAGTTACCTTCCAGTAGTGGTGGGTCTACGGCCATAATGCCGGCCCACCAGTAGGATTTATATGCTAGATGATTGTCTTTGTGATATCATCTAGGTTTGCTACTTCCTGATATGTTATATGTTGGCATGATATGTTATATGTGATAGTAGTAGAGTTCGGTTTTTAGGACTGAAGGGTAGGCCAAACACCCTAGATATGTCTGACAGTATGTGATGATATGTTATATGTGATAGTGGTAGTAGGAGGGGAATAGTCCCCAAGTTCAGTTTTTAGGACCGAAGGGTAGTTCGAACACCCCAAATATGTCTGATAGTATGTTTATGTTATGATATATGTGATAGTAGCAGTAGGGGTGGAATAGTCCCCGAGGGTCGGTTGTTAGGACCGACGGGTAGGTCAGCACTCCAGAATGGCTTGACATGTGTAGGTCAACGCCCCAAATGGCTTGACATGGGTAGGACGACACCCCAGAATGGCCGCATGGGAGGTCGGCACCCCAGAATGGCCGTACGGGTAGGTCGGCACCCCAGAACGGTCGTACCGGGTAGGTCGGGCACCCCAGAATTGTCTGGCAGTATATATGTTATGTGCTTGTATGGTATGTGGTACGATGGGGGAACTCACTAAGCTTCGTGCTTACAGTTTACAGTTTTGGTTTCAGGTACCTCTTCAGCGAAGGGAAAGGAGCTGGCGCGGTAGCGGCACATTATACACACACTCTTTGTTTTCCGCACTATGAGTTATTCTGGGATTTGTACTCTGACATTATTATGTTTTTGCGATTCAGTTTTCAGATACGAGACATGTTTTTATTAATTGATATGATCGGATGATATTTTGTTACAAATATTTTGCAAATCACTTAATCAAAAATGAAATTTTTGGATGTGAAAATTGGGTAGTTACATAACAAGTGTTCATGTAGGAAACTAGTAACAAAGTTCATGAATGAATTATATAATAATATTCTCGTAAGAATATTATGGTAAGATTCTCATATTTAATATTCTCATAGGAATCAAATATCCATATCTAGGTAGGATTCACAAATTTAGTATTTCTTGTAGGAATCATATATTCAGTATTTCCCATAGAAATCACATATTCTGTATTTTTCGTAGGAATCACTTATTCAGTCATTTTCGTAGGAATCACATAATCATTGCTCCCATAGGAACCATGTAATCATTGTTCCTGTAGGAACCTTTAAACAATATTCTCGTAGAAACATTATGCCGAATTTTCTCTTTCCTTGGGTAAAAGCCACCCCTTAAATGCATGAACCACATATATAGGCTAGTGAAGTCGCGTCATGTCAACCTCTTGGTCGTGTCACAGCCTATGTATCTCCCCAAATTCCACCACGTATATTCTTGTTAGGACATGCGTCTTGCCACTCTAACAAGCCTTCGTGTAGTGAATCCAACTTCTTGTCATGTCATAATTTTTTTCACCTATTCACTGGCACGTGTCATGATCTGATAACACATGTTTATCACATCAACACGTTGACGCATCGGTACATAACCTTGTTGCATCGCGACTTTCATTTTTTTAGTTTTCTTTCATTTACTCAAACATACTATATCCAAAACAAGTTCTTCACACTAAATAAGGTATAGTCAGGTAATCAAATTTGTAGTCATTACAATTCACTTCCCCTTAAAAAGATTCCATCCCCAGAATCACCTCTTTACATGTTTCACAGTTTAAGTCTATGTATGAACATTCAAAACCTAGTTCTCTTAAACTATGACTCTGATACCACATGTAACCCTCGTATTGTAACTCCATACTCTATTAAACCAAAATTAACATTGTGGTTATATAAAGATCATGACCCGAAGTCATATCTTACAATTTGGTTTTACAAAATTACCATACATAATCTGCATACGCAGGGATTTCATCCCCACAGTTGGCCTATTATCCCATTATGGAGTCTTTTATTATATTTCCCATGGGAAATCATTTAAGGAAACCTGTAACAAATTTCATGAAGGAACTATATAACAATATTCTCGTAAGAACATTGCGGTACGATTCGTATATTTAATAGTCTCATGGGAATCAAATATCCATATCTTCGTAGGATTTAGATATTTAGTATTTCCCTTACGAATCATATATTTACTATTTCCCGTAGAAATCACATATTCAATATTTCACATAAGAATCACAAATTCAGTCTTCGATTGCCTTGATATAAGTTTTGTGTAATGGATGATCTTTCTATTTTCCTAAACTTGATTACCTAGTGGTTTATGATCATTAAATTGCTAGAGCTAGGGTTGGATAAATCTTAGATTAAGTAATTAAAGTTAATAACTTTAACCGTATTAAAGAGCATAATTGATCCATAATTTGTGCTTGGTTGCTTGACTTGATCATAGGAAAGTGACTATTAAATTTATCATTCATAGTCAAATTCATCTTTATACCAATTTCGTGTTTACTTGCGTTTGATCATAACATAGCAAGTCATAAATTGGTAACAACTA